GTACTGTTTTCAATTAAACATAGGGCTTAAATGATTTGCACATAATTGCATTCTGTTTTTATTTGTACTTTGCACAGGATTCCAACTTTTTTGGAAATGGGGTTGTAAATACACACACACACACACACACACATACACACACACACACACACACACACACACACATTATCTAAACTGCTTATCGTGCTGGGTGGCGGGGGGTGCTGGAGCCTATCCCCTGTTTGGGCAGAAGGCAGGTAACACCCTGGATAGGTCTCCAGTCCATCACACAAACACACACTCACTCCTAGGGCCAATTTAGCATCTTTAATTTGCCTGACTGTGTGTCTGAGGAGTGTGGGAGGAAACTGGAGCATCTGGAAGAAACCTACGCAGACACAGGGAAAACATGCAAACTCCACACAGAAAGGACCCTGGTCACCCGAATTAATTTCTTTCCTCTCTCGAGGATGCAAAATTGTCTTTTTAGTCTGTGTGTTTGTTTTAAACTCTACTTTTCATGAATTTAGTCTCTGGTATCTCTATTTGGCAGGCAAAGGGGTGGAGGACTGCAGCTCATGTCATCCTGGACACACACTCTCAGAGGGAGCCTGTGAATCACTCTGTGTCATGGGGGAGTACGTTGTATTTGAGGTACTCATTGAGAGCTCATTGGAAAATTCCAAGATTCACAGTCAAAATACTGAAGAAGTACACAAAGCGAAAGAAGTAACTTTGCTGCTGTTTTAAGTTAGTTGGCTCTCATTATTTTGCCAGTGTTTTTCTTTTTCATGTTTTTGCTTGTATTAAGTCAGCATTCCAATTCATCCCAAAGGTTGAGGTCAAGGCTCTGTGCAGGCCAATCAAGTTCTTCCACACCAAACTCAGCAAACCACTTCTTTATGGAGCTCACTTTTTGCATGGGGGCATTGTTATAACAGGAAAGGGCCTTCCCCAAACTGTTGCCACAAAGTGTGCAGTATCATTAAGATTTCTTACTAAGAGGCACAGCCCAAACCATTATTCCTTCTCCAACAAACTTCATAGTTGGTACTGTGCATCTGCCAAACCCAGATCCATTGAGATCTCTCAAGAGAAGGAGTTTCAGTTGCTCCAGAATACAATAGTGGTGTGCTTTACACTATTCCAGTCAATGCTTGGCATTGTGCATGGTTATCTCAGGCTTGCGCATGGCTGCTCAGCAATGGAATCCTAATCTATGAAGCTCCCAAAAATAGTTCTTGTGCTGACTTTGCTTCTAGATGCAACTGAAGACAGAAGATTTTAATGCACTTTTGTCTCATTCTGTGAGCTTGTGTGGCCTACCATTTTTCAGCTGAGCTGTTGACACTCCTAGACATTTCTGCTTCACAATAATAGCACTTACAGTTTACCAGGGCAGTTCTGGCAAGGCAGAACTTTGACAAACAGACTTGATAGAAAAGTGCCATCCTCTGACAGTGCTATGTTGAAAGACACTCTTCAGTAGGACCCATTCAACTGCCAATGTTTGACTATGGCGACTCCTTGGCTGTACGCTTGATTTTTCACATCTGGTAGCAAAGGGTATGGCTAAAATGGTCTCAATAATTACATGGGGTGTCCACATACTTTTGGCCATGTAGTGCATCTGCATAAAGCTCCATATATCTGTTATTCACTTCTAGAATACTTTGTTATTTATCAGTGCAAGTATCAAATATGTTGTTACTTTTTAAATTTCTTCTTGTCTTGATATTCTTGCAGGTCTGTACATCTGCTTTTTTTACATCTACTTTTATCATATAGTAGCCATGAACTGCACTGTTTGGTGTTTCCCTAAGTTCTAACACACATTCATTCAATAACTAAAAAGTAAATGCTTCATGAAATAAATTGTAACTGTAAAACATGAACAGTGAAAGGGAACTCCAGGACTAGGCCTGGAAAATTGTGGAGATATTTCTTACTGGCCTAACTGTCTCTCCACAGGAGCAGAGCTATAACTGTAAACCCTGTGATGAGTCGTGTTTGGAGTGTAAAGGACCTGGGCCACACAACTGCACGATTTGTCCCATAGAGTTTATCCTAACCACTGAGGGGCGTTGTCTGCCTTGCTGTAGGAGTAAGGATCATGGGGAGGAAGAGACTAGTGTAGAGCAACAAGAGTGCTGTAACTGCACACAAACTAGAGGTAATGACTTAAATCCATCTGAAATAGTTTTTCTGATATTAGTGTAAATGTAAAAGAAATCATACAATATGAATCAGAATATAGAATCAGCATATATCTACAACACCAAATACCAACACAAAAACTTATTCTTGATTCTGCAACTGCAACACAAATTTTACATCTATTTTGCTACTACACTTGTCATTTTTCTCTGATGAATAATGCACTTTCTTTTACATTTTCTATATTGTTTTCAAGAAATAAAAGTTGAAATACTCTGCTTTTGAACAAAATCCAGATTAAATTGGCACATTTCAGATTTCTTTCAGCATATTTTATAGATGCAAAATGAAATACAGCAAACAAACTGCCAGATAGCCTATGTATTATTTTGTATAATAAATGTATTTTGGCAGTACATTGTTTCTACAGATAAGGTAATGTGCATTTACAATTTTTCGATTGGCCTTGGACACCATTCAACTGCAATGCATGAATTCTTTATTTCTGTTGTAGTAGCCTACATTCTCCACCTAGTCACTAATCCCCTCTGCCTACCACGTCCAATTTTTTTGTCTTCAAGGCGAGTGTGTCCTCAGCTCAAACTTCGCCTTACACAACCTTGAAGAAGAGGAGTACCCAGGCAACCTGGCACTCTTTATCACCACCTCCATCCTGCTGGTGCTGGGCCTGGTTGCTGTAGTTGTACTCATCAAACGCTCCTCCAAGCAGCCCACGACGGACACTGCGGTCGCCCGGGGTTACGAAAAACTGGGCCACAGCAGTGGTAGAGACAACTATCATGGCGGTATGACATCAACATCCTCCACGTATGGCCGCCAGGCTAGCTCTAGTTCTGGACATTTCCACGAAGAGCAGCTGGTGGAGCTTGGGGATGGGAGGGCAGATCAGGAAGAAGATGAGGATGATGAGGATGAAGATATTGTGTACATGGGGCAGGATGGCACAGTTTACCGTAAGTTCCGGTACGGGCAACTGGGAGAGGAGCAGGAGGATGAGCTTGAGTATGATGACGAGAGCTATAATTTCAAATAATTTTAGAATATTTGCTGACACACAACAATGGTGTAACTAGGGCCATGGTGCAAACTCATAGTGAAATGGCCATGGCCCTAGTTGCACCATAAAGACACTAAGACAAGTTACTAATTACTGAACTTGTGGCATGCCATGTAGGTCAAAACTGGCTTTAATGTCTATAATAAAACAATATGTTAGGTTTTACTAAGCTATTGGGACAAATGTGTCTTAGCAGCTTTAAAAGTTGTTTGGTTTACAAGTGATTTACCTACACCAGGTGACAATGGATTTAACTGCTTTGTCGTTTACCACCTTTTAATTTCATCACTGTCCAAAAAAAGTATCTCCACTTTTTTCTGATTTTTATTTTACATCATCTGAAGACCTGAAGCAGCAGTCCTTGACACTGTGTGCAAATTTCATGATGAATGGACCAATAGAAATGTTCCAAATTATTTGGAATACATTTTTTTACATTAATTTACATTGAAAGTTAAGAATATTTTTGTCTTCTCCTGTAAAGTTACTATTGTGGAGATGCATTTTTGTGCACAGTGACAATTTGCTGTTCCTGCTTTATGATTTATAGCTCTCAGTTTATTATTGACTGTAAGACAAACTGCTTAAACTTTCAGGGATAGAAAAATTACAGAGAAAATGTACTTACGTAAAAGTACGGCTACTGTATTCAAATATTACTCAAGAAAAAGTGGAAGTATGCATTCAAAATATACTTTAAAGTAAAAACGTACAAACATTTAAAATTCTCAAGAATACAAAAGTAAAAAGTAAATGTTTAAATAAATGAAGTTAGAAGTTTACTTTTTTGGTAGTGTGTGATGCAGTGACTAATGGGTGCTACTAATTTAAAAAAATAAATAAATTGGCACTGTTGTGGGCAGCTTCATTGAACACTGATATGCATTTGGTTAGATGTTTTAATAAAAAACAGTAAATTAAAATGCACAGCAACAAAAAAATTACATTTCATGGCCTTTGAAATTTGAATTTTTAAAGTCTAAATAAAAATGTAAGGAGTATTTAAGTTTTACCGTAGTAAAACTTTAGTGTTAAGATTAAATTTTGACAATGCAAGTAGTTCAAAATAATACTTAAGTAAAATAGGGCTAAATGATTTAAACAAAATATCTAATTACAATTGTTCTGACCAACATTGCAACTATGATTTAAATTGCAATTATTTTCTGTAAATTGAGATTCACACCTGTTGGCCAAGACCACCAGCATACCAACTTTTTATAGCTTGACCCTTGAACGCTTAATGTAGAGTGCCACACTGCCAGTTAGTTGTAGGTTTAGTACCGCACATGAGGTCCTTCTGATTGGTCTGACACCTCAACAGGTGCTTTGCATGCTTTGTGTTAAATTTACTCCCTTATAAATTATGACAATGTCACTGATAATGTAGACTATCTAATTTCTAAACTGCAGATCTTGCGATTTGAAAATTGCACTCTTTAATATTGCAATTTCAATATAAACATAATTAATCTTTCAGCCTTATAATACAGTCAATACTCAAGTATTATCCTCCCCAGGTCTCTCTTTACGTATGTGTAGGCTGTTTGTTTTCTGTGATATTTTGATTGTGTGAAGCAATGCATTTGCTAAAGCAACAATATTCTTATGCTACACTAAATACAATTTATTGAGGACACAGTTCCCTTTGTAAACAGGTTGCCTTGGTTTGCAGTCATTGTTTTTTGTTGTGGAAGTGTGTCTTATCCACTTATTTTAATAAAAGTTGAATAATTGTTGAAATTAAATAATTTTGTCAGAAATGGAAAAGCAAACACGTGGTGTGTAAGGTTTGAGGTAAATTTATTGATGTGTTCTGCATTATTTTACAACATCTTAATATAATCTGAGAAGGCCTCTGGGTCAAAGATACCCATCTATTTAATATTTTTTGATTCTGAATGACTATGTATTAACAACTAGGAGACATGCAGTGACATGCGTGCACTCACACACGCAACATATGCACACGTACAGAGGTTGTGGATATTGTGCTTTGCAGCTTTTTTGCGTTCCACCTATAAGAACTTTATGAGAACCTAATGGCATACAAATAAGACTGCCACACAAACACACTCAATTACAATCTGATCTACAAAACATTCATTCACACACGCACACACAGGTACACAAATGTACAAACAGGTGTTAAAAAATGGACATAGGAGCTACGCTGACTGACTTGACAAACCCCTGAAGCTGCATGCTCTCCAATTTGACAGACCACTTGACTGGTGCGATTATTCTGATCACTACACATGGCAAACACTGTGACCTGAAGTAAGATAGATGCTTCTAGGTTTTAAAAACCCACTCACTGCTTCTGGCTCATTTTGAGAAACAGATTACTCATGGCATAAGACCAGGTTATTTATAAACAGTGCCTGCATTTGGAACCAATAGGGCTGGGACAATATGCAAATTAATCATTTTGGAAAAAAATTATGACAACTGATTTTTAAACATCTTTTCACACTGACCAGAGTATAATAAATGAAAAACACACAAGTTATTAAAAAATGTACACATTAACATTGTTGTAATTTGCTGCAGTTTATTTGCTCATTTAATGCTCCGAGCTCTAAGCTGATGCAGAGCCTCAAGCTCCACCACACACACACAGGTCTTGTCTGAGCTGGTGGATCTCCCCATGCTGTTTATTGAACAGAATGGGCTGTTAACCAGTGTTGGCTAAAAGAAAAATGATAACTTTGTCACCTTTTTGTCACCATAACTGAGCCCATGCAACAAAACAGTATACATGACATTTTTTCGTAAAAATTATATAAGCACGGTAGAGCATTGTTTGATATGGGTCAATAAAACATAACAATAGTTTGGCTTTTTAATGTAAAATGTTTTACAAAGTAAAACAGGAAACAAAATAACCCATAGAACAGAAATTCAAAAAAGGGTGGAATGATGAATGCATGTTTTTTTGTTGGAGGGACTGAATTATTGATACATCGATAAGTGGTCCCAGCCCTAGTAACTACCTTGTCTTTTGTCAAACTTTTAAAATATGCATGGCAAAATGACACCTGCACTTTAGAACATAAATTGCTACTAAAACGTGCAGTTCTGTGATAACCATATATGATATAGGTAGCATGGAAAGTTGTTTTAGACTAAAAGGAATCCTATGTAGTACCTGATGATAAGAGTTCAAAACTGAGTGATCATACATAAATCAATACAGAATTGCTCAACTGGAGGTGTTGTCCATACGCTACCAATCTAGCTAATTATTTTAAGAAGACTTGCAAGTCTACATGATACATTATGTGCCTTAGTGACATATACATTATTGCTTGAATGCTTCTCATGCATACCTCAACGAACTACAAGAAAATGTATTGCCAGAACATACAAATAAGAACATTAGTGAAATCCTTGGTCCAGCTGAGGAAATGCTGTTTATGGTGGTTTAAGGGTTGTACTGGTCTACACTAGTTATACTGTGAGAGGAGCAGTAATTTCCACAGAGCTGATATGTGATAACTCTGTGTTGGTGGTGTATGGATCCAAGTGCCAGGAGAGATTAAAGCAAGAGCACATCAGGTGTGTAGAACCCAGCGTCAAATATTCCACGTGACCTGTTACACACATACAGGCCATGCATTTCTCCATTGCTACCTAGGCTTCAGAACTGCTTACACCGGGTTGAGCTCTGCACAAAGGGAACAGACACAAATACTTTTTTTGAAGATGAGCAAAAATACAAAGTACAAAGCTTGCATGGCTTGGTGGTAGAAAGCAATTTATGAGAAGTAGTGCCTTTTGAAGGCATAAAATCTTACATAGGTTCTTCTGGTGGCACCTCGGGTCCTTGGAGAAAGCTGTTGATTCTCCAAAAGAAAGATTCAGATTACATTCCACTACATACATTTACATACATGAACACATTTAGCAATTTCTTAATTTTCTGGCATAGGTTAATTTAAATTGCATCATTGATTTTCTGCATAATTAAATTGCTAAGAGTAGTGATGTGAACTGCTCGGTTCTAGTGAAAACTACAAAGTCAGAACTGTTCACTGCAGTGGTGATAGGAACCAGCACCTGCACTCCTGAAGTGGTTAGTGGCTCTGAAAGCAACCAAACAGAAGGTAATGACACTAAATGGTTTTGAGTGTGTTGCATAATGCCTGAAACACTGTTTTACAGTTTTGAGTTGAGGCTTTGGTCTAGAATGTATATTTTAAACTGCATTTATGCTGGAGATGTACATAAAGGGCATTGTGAGGCAAAATAGTACCCGAAGAAAACTTTTGTCAGATTTAACATTAGTTCACCATTGTCAACATTACATATAAAATTCTGAAATAGTTGGTTAGTTTCTTTACAATGAACCATTTTACATAGTAACACTTTGACTTTGTTTAGCCATTGTATTATGCAGACATTTTTGCAAAATCACCGGAATTCCCATTCAACATTAATAGTAATGGCTATCAGGAAGCAGTTTTTGTTTGAACAGATTTACCAAAGGTTTTTGGGAAAAAAATTCAATTTGTAAACAGAATCTTCACATAATTGTAAGGTCATTACATGCCAACTCACTTAGGGCCTGGCAGGTTCTTGGACTTTCATGAAAAGATATGAGCAAAAACTTCTTTTAAATCGTGCAACCATGCAAAATTAATTTTAAAACTGTTTAAAATATTTTTTTAGTTATGAACTTTTAAAATCTGCCCCATTTGTTTCTAAGTTGCATCTTATTATTTTTTCTCTTTGCTTATGTATAACTGAGCTGACCTGAAATATTAACTGAGAATATACACATTTCACAAGAAATCATCTGGTTTCTTGTTAACAAATTGCAACATCAGGTTAATTTATTGGCAGGTGTACTTTTTACGTCAGAGTGTAAAAACCTTCATGGTTGACATTTAATCTTTATATAATCCTAATATTAAGATCCAGATTAACCTTTGTAGTATACACATATTTATTTCTTGTTGTTCTTGAGATCTTTCATACATGGAAACTCTTGCTGAACATTCCAACAACCTCGTTAAAATATTCTCGCCAGATCGCCTAACAATCTAGAGTATTATAAAGGGTAATTCAATAAGCGTTTTTGATTTAGTCTTACTATTTTTGTGGTTTTACTATATCTTTATATTGTCCTTGCTAATCAAACAGATTTTTAGCTAGCCATTCGGAATTCACATTGTAGCTTCACATGTTGCATACTGAAAAAAACATTCATAGGTTTGATAGCAATGTAGGAGTAGTGCATAAAAATAAAAACTTAGCAAAAATAATTTTGATTTGAACTTAAAATTGATTTGAAATTTCCCACTCATACAAACTAGACTCCCCAGTTAATTAAAATTGGCAATTTATTAGCAACAAAACTATATAATTTAAAGAGAAATATTATAATATTCTTAGTGGTGTAATTATACTCAGTCAATATTTCACTTCAGTTCACTCATTGTGTAAACAGTTAAACCTGGTATTTCAGCCTGATAAGGCAATTTTTATAAATAATTTGGAGCACAGTTTTGAAATCTTGCATGGTTGCATGAATTAAATGAGTTGTTCATGACTTGCCAGGTCCTAGTGAGTTTGCATGTAATAACCCTTAGTAAACTTACACAGAATTGTATACTTCCAATATGATCAAAATGATCATATGATCAAAGGTTTGAAAATACACCAAATGCACCAACATTCAAAAAAGCTATGAATTATTTTCATTCATTCAGTTTAAGAAGGAACAGAGGAAAGAATATTTGGTAAAAAATAAACTAATAAAATAAGATGGCATAATGGACAGACCAGGGTTATTATAGTTTTAAATTTCCATATGTTTTTATTTTTATTTAGTTTTTTATTTTAGTTTTTGATTTCAGTTTAGTTTCAGTTAGTTTTAAGGGTGCATTAATAGTTTAGTTTTATTTTTTTGCCAGTCCCCCTGGCAGGCAAGAGGGCGCTCCTGAGTGAGTCAAAAATTAATGGGTTAAGATAGAGCATTTGAGCAAAATCATAGTTTATAAATGCTTAAACATGTAAAAGAACACATTCATTTCCTGAACACAAAACATAAAACATTTTAAACCTGCTGTTATATTTTTAAGTCCTTTTGAGCTCAAGTTATAGGAGTTTAAAACTGTAAAAATGTATGTTTATGACATCAGTGAGCGCAAACAGCCAATAAGCTACTAAGTAGCAGGAATACTATTATCCTGCTGCCTAAAACCCATTTGCTGTAGAAAAACAGAAACAGAGAGGCAGGTTTTCTTTGCCTTTTTGGTGAAATACATCCCTCTGCAAGAAACTATTGAGAGAAATTCCTCCTTCTACTAGAAACTATTTTAAATTTTTATTTTTAGCTGTTTAGCTCCGTTGAACCCCATTCATTGACTCACTAACATTTAGCAGTCATGTTTTTGATATAACAGGGGAAATTGGAAGAGGCCAGGCTCCCCTTAAACTGGCTCTGGCCTCTTCTCACATCATTGTCCTGATTTCACTTCCCTAGAACCCTTCGCAAGAGTCAGCAAGTTAGTATGTTTTCATTATCATGCAAGCCAGTACCGTTAACTGTAAAACACATCACTGTTTTAATTCAGTTGAGTGCTAGCTTTGTTGCGTTTACAAATATATTTAAGCTTACAAAAAGTCAGGCACATACGTATACCTATGCCATTTAAAGTCCTCCCCTGAATTGTTTATTGACTGCTGTGTTATATATGATTCATCCAATAACACTGCGAATAACCGTGACAGGAAACCAGAGGAAGAAAGAAATTCAATGTTTCTCTATTTAGGGTTTTACAATTTCTTTTTATAGCATATTGTCATATTTCCCACCAAACTAAAATTATACTGTATTTGTGCTATTCATTTATTGGGTCAGTCATTAGTGGATCTTTTAGTGATACTCACTTGGAGTTCTCTGCTGCTTCTTGTAACTCCTCATCAAGTCTGTTAAAGAGAAAAGGAGAAATTTGTCTGTCTAGCTCAAGAAAGACTTGATCATTAGCTAATGATATGAGGTGCAGGAAAAACATGAAAGTGTGCAGTGTCAGTGGGCCTCCAGGACAGTTTTTTCAGAATTTCAGAATTATTCAGGTTTTACTGTATATCATTGCAAATAAATCTTGGAAACGGAACTCGGCTGCAGTGAAAGAACAGCTTTCTAGCTGACATAAAATGACAGCACTGCCCAGAACCTATCAACCTGTATGTTACAGAGAAAGACCCAAAACCTGTTCCTTTGGAACTCAGAACGCAAGGTAAGGATTTTGTTAGCTTCCATTTCAGTACTATTGTGTACCCAGATTCGCAACTGTGAAACTGCAGAGTGAACATTCACAGCTTCAGCAGCAATTCTCAAGAACACACTGACACCTCGACTACTGAACTGCTGAACACACAACAGTGTTTCTGCACGAGCATAAACTGTATTGGGTGTATGGGGTTTTACATATGATGTTAAATCATATCAAGAACAATCATGATTCTTCAAACAATGAACAAATCCTGTATAATCCTGTTAATCAAGGAACTCAGAGAGACATTTATTTGACTTCAGAGAGATTAAGCTATAAATTCCATTACATGGAAAATACAGATTACATACAGCATAAGAGAAAAAAATAACACCAAAGTGCTTCTTTAGTACACGTCCACTTACTTGATGATGCTTTCAGGAATATGGACATAGTCCATAGGGATAAGGTCTTCCAGCTCTGCTAAACTGTTCACATATCTAATCTTGCTACTGAACTTAGAACTGTGGAGTACACACAAACAAAACAAATACTAGGACAATTAAAACACACATACACATTGTTTCTTGATTTCAAATATTAAGGTTTCCCTCTACTCATAAAATCACACAAAAATGTATCCTTTTACCTGATAAAGGGTCTAGTGATGGCTAGAACAGTTCTGATAAACCAGGAAGGGTGAACAATAATGAAGGATTTCAGGTTCTTCCTTAGCCTAAAAAAAGTTTATGAGGTTAGACAGGTTTTAAAGTTAAGGATGTACACTGTGCATATTTTAGGTAGTAAGAATGAAGGAAGAACGGTAGCTACCTCCTGTCAATCATCTGGTAACACTTCTTAAGCCAACCGAGGCCAGGCATCCTACGGTGAGGAGTTGCTCCATTCAGGTAAACAATCATGTAGTCCTCTGCCACCATCAGTTCCAGTGTGCTGATCACATACCTGACATTACAAACATCGACATCAGAGCTAGTGGTTGCTAAGTTATCCCTACTGGTTTCTAAGGTTGCTACATGGTTGGTATGGTATACCTCGTGGTTGCTAAGGTATTGTTAGGTAGTTGCTATGTTATCTCAAGTGGCTGCTAGGGTGTTGCAAAGCAGTTGCCATGGTATCCCATGTGGTTGCTAGGGTGATGGTAGGTGGTTGCTCTGGTATCCTAGGTGATTGCTGAGGTGTTGTTGGAGGGGTTTCTATAGTATCTCAGGTGGATGCTACGTGTTGCTAGGTGGTTGCTATAGTATCCCTACTGGTTTCTAAGGTGTTGCTACATGATTGGTTTGGTATCCTAGTTGGTTGCTAAGGTGTTGCTAGGCAGTTGCTATGGTATCCCAGGTAGTTGTTAGGCAGTTGCTATGGTATCCCAGGTGGTTGCTATGGTGTTGCTAGGCAGCTACCATGGTGCAAGAGATGTTTATTGAAGTGGTTGTTAAGGGGTTGCTAGGTGGTGTTGAAAATGACCTAGACTTTATGGGAGGAATGAGGGATGAAAAAATAACACATAGAGGAGTGCGGGTCAGTATAGCTTTGAATTAGAGCTTGGGGACCTGCCCTGAGTGAGTACATGCAGTTTGGTGGCTGTTGGGCAAAGGAAACAATAAGGCTTTTGTGTGATTAATCTAATTAATCTAACCTAATCTAATCTAAACCTGCCCCGAGTGAGTACATGCAGTTTGGTGGCTGTTGGGCAAAGGAAACAATAAGGCTTTTGTAAGGGGGCAAAAATGAATAAGACCTAAGGGAGGAAAGAGGGATGAAAATGACAAACAGATGAGTGCAGGTCAGAACAACATTAAATTTGTGCTTGGGGGCCTGCCCTGAGATAGTATATGTGAAATAGTGTCTTTTGGTTGAGAAGCACAGTAGATCAGTGTGCAACTTTTGTGCCCAATTCATTCCTATGGGAAAAAAAAAAATCAGAATTTAATGAAGACTGTACGAAAACCACACATCGGATGAAATGCTATGAAGCATACAGCACAATTTGCAGTCAGGCCTAACATTCCAGAGTTGGAACGGTGTCGGTATCATGAAACCTGCAGGACAAGTTAGCCGACAAAAATCCAGCAGAAAAATAAGAAAAAAGAACAGAAATTGAATTGCGCAAATCACTTATTACCAAACGATATGTTGTGCAGTGCTAACTGACATTCTGAAATATATTAATTAATATCCAAAAGACAGGTAACAGTTAGCACTCATTTGTGTAATGTTCAACATAAGCTTTCAATTCTGTTACTGCATTCTAATTTGTTAGACTGTATAAAGAACTTCACTTACAGAAAGAGGTTCTCCATTATTTCATGGTAGTCCTCTCTATCACTGTCCGGAAGGAAGCAAGCAGCAAACACAATGATGGCGTTCACACCATTCCCATAGTAGCCTTTTAAAGGAAAGAGATTGTTACAAAAGACACCTTTATACACAAACGCTGAAATTGGAGATGCGTCGCTACTGATACCAGTATCGGGTATCAGGCTGATACCATGCTCATTTACTTATACTCATAAAAATTCACCGATATCAACATTCCGATATGAGCTGATATTGTGTGACGTAAGCCGAGCGTACACTGCCACACTAATGAACAAACGACTCAAGCTAGCAGTGAAGGAGGATCTGCTCACACAGCAAAGTGCTACTGACGGCGCAGCAGTTGGACACAAAGTCACTGGTCACTTTAAACATTCTGCCTTGGCATATTCCCACCAGACCTACACTGTATGATTGTAGCCCGTTTTTTAAACATACACAAACACAATCACAACATTTCCTACCCAAGTTTGTCTATGCTGACTTCACACTGTTTGTTTGAAGAGAATAGTAAGGTATAAATGTTAATATGGTGACCAAAAAAGTCAGGCTTAAGAGAGACCGCATTGTCCATCACCACCTGGCTTTTATCTTCAGTGCACAGTTTTAGCAGCACTGCTCAGTTCCTATTTGCTCCGTACTCGCATAGAGCGTATTATTTTAAATGAAACAGTTTTATTTTTTTTGTCCATGGACAGAGCTGTCTGTAAGGGCTGTGTTTCACGTAGCATGGACAGAGCATTTTTGTACAGTGTGAGTATATAATTCGTAGGCTTTGTCCATACAGGATGAACTACCACCAAGGATTCACCAAAGAAAAGGATTTATAAAATCACACAGTGTTTGTCTGGCTTTAGAGGACATTCAGCAATGGCATAACTAGCCAAACCAAATAATTTAGAGCTGCTCAGATGTGATTCTTGCTCTCATTGGCTGTGTTTATATGCAAAGATTTTTGCCAATCCAATGTAATACATTCTGATTATGGAATAAGACTGAGGTGTTTATATGCACACTCTACTCAACAATCTGATGAAAAATCTGTAATCTCTGTTTACGTGCACACTAAAGTAATCCGATCCAAAATCACGCGCATACATAGTGTTGACATTACCATGTAGTTTTCAATTGGCATGCTTATGTTTTTATTTGTTTTAAAATTATGGCAGACTCAGGAAAACGTACTTTACATGTACTTTTTAAAGAAGGGATGAGAGGAAGACGTCATGTTCTGAGACACATAAGAGCTGGCCAGTCCCGCTGCCATCTTTTAAAGTTCAAAGCATAAACTTCTTCTTCTCTGCAGACCGGTTTCTGGCTCCCGCCATGTTCTGGCTCCCACCACATTACACACTTTCACTATGATGACTGGGAATGTAATCAGATACAGGCATTAACACGGTAATTATTCTTCTATTTAATGGATTATTTACAGGATCACCCTGAGGCGTACACATGAACGTATTCCGATTGAGCTATTAGTCGGATTAGTAACGAATTACCAGGCTACATGTAAACGTGGCTACTGTGTTACAGAAACTGATCGGGGTTCAAAACTATGAAACATACTTTATTTATAGCTGTACAGAAGCGCTTTTCTGATGTGGAACAAAAGCTGCTCTTTACCATGCAAGCGCTAGTCAATCCGAGGTAACTAATGTAACATTGCTAGCTAATGTATTTAAAATCAGCTACATTTTAACAACCTCTCAAGAAACACTGCAATCATTTACGCTAACTACTGCTTAATTATAAGTAGGTAATTCAGTACGGTATCGGCGAGTACTACTGTCTCGTACTCGGTCTGAAAAATATGATATCGATGCATCCTTTGAAATAAGGTACATTTACTGTCTGCACTTCTTATCACTTCTTTAGAACTTTAATGTGAGTGGGCTAAACTGTTGTAAGTTGGATGAGTGATTATATGTGAATGCATTCACATATAATGTATTCAAATGTATTCAAAAAGATCTATGTTTTTATGTGTATACCTCCATGGGAGATGACTTTTTGGTAAGGTTCGATACACTTCATGTTGATTCGGTGCTCTTGTTCACCAATGATGACCGTCCTCCAGAGTTTGGACTCCTGCCGCTCCTCTTCAGCACTACATGTAGGGATTGGTTCACACGCCTCCTTCACTGATGCTCTTTGGGGTGCCTTAGGCTCTAAATATGATCAAATCAGATGTAGAGGAGGAAAGAGCACTGAAAATCCCTACTTAGGTACAGCAACGGTAGTGAAAATTCACTTTAATACAAGTAAAAGTATTAATAAAGGAAAAGTAAGAGTAAATACATTTTTAAATATCTCTGGTCAATTACCTTGACTTACTAAAGTTAAGCTTTGTTTTCCAGAAAGAAGGATCCATGCTTAAGGTTTCACTAGGTTTACTGGATACTTAAGCTAACCCTTTAGCATACCTTGAATGTTAGCTTACGTTAGCTAAAATAGCTAGCTAATATGCACTTGCAGTATAAGCAACAGCCTTAGGTTTAATAAAACTGTCATGCTTGTTATTCTAAAATGACTAAATAAAAAGAAAATAGTAAAAGAATACACAAGCTATTTAGCCAAGATTAGTTAGCTGCTTTCTCAGTTTGGGAGTTGAATTGCGAAAAGAGGACATTTTTATTCTATAATGTATATTTAATTTTAAAATTACAACCCCATTTCCAAAAAAGTTGGAATGCTGTGCAAACTGTAAATAAAAACAAAACGCAATGATATGCAGATCATTTAAACCCTATATCTCATTGAAAATAGAACAAAGACAACATATCAAATGTTGAAACTGAGAAATGTTATTGTTTTTTGAAAAAATATTTGCCCATTTTGAATTTGATGCCAACAAGACATTCCAAAAAAGTTGGGACAGGGGCAACAAAAGGCTGGTAAAAGTTGGGTTATGCTAAAAAACACCTGGTGGTTAATTGGCAACAGGTCAGTAACATGATTGGCTATAAAAAAGCATTCCAGACAGGCTGAGGCCTTTAGAAGTAAAGATGGGGAGGGATTCACCACTCTGTGAAAAACTGCACAATCAAATATTGCAACAGTTAATAACAGAATAATGTTTCTCAATGTAAAACAGCAAAGAACAAATCAACATTCGAAATTCCTTTTGGAAATCATGGACACTGTCCTCTGGGCTAAAGACCGCTCAGCTTGTTATCAGTGCACAGTTCAAAAGCCAGTATTCATGATGGTATAGGGGTGCATTAGTGCACATGGCATGGGTGACATGCACATCTGTGAAGGCACCATTAATGCGGAACGACAGATACATGTTGTGGCATCATATGCTGCCCTCCAGACAACGTCTTTTTCAGGGAAGGCCTTGATTATTTCAGCAAGATGATGTCACACCACATTCTGCATGTATTACAACAGCATGGCTCCGTTTTAAAAGAGTCCGGATGCTAAACTGGCCTGCCTGCAGTCCAGACCTGTCACTACTAAAAACATTTGGTGCATTATGAAATGAAAAATATGACAAATGAGCCCCCAAACTGTACAGCAGCTGAAATCCTATGTCAAACAGTAATAGGAAAACATTTCACTTTCAAAACTACAGCAATTGTTCTCCTCAGTTCCCAAACGCTTACAGAGTGTTGTTAAAGGAAGAAGTGATGAAACACAGTGGCAAACATGCTCCCGTCCCAACTTTTTTGGAACGTATTGTTGGCATCAAATATGTTGGCATATATTTTTCAAAAAAAAAATCTCAGTTTCAGCATTTGATATGTTGTCTTTGTAGTATTTTCCTTTAAAAATATGGGTTACGTGATTTGCATATCATTGCATTTTATTTTTATTTACATTTTGCACAGCATCCTAACTTTTTTGGAAATAGGGTTGTACATTTAAATACTTTCTTGGAAATTATCACAATTAAATGTACTATGATTTATTTATATTCAAAAAACACACATGCACTCAAGCCAAGTTCAATTTGGTTACAAATGATCTCTGATCAGATGTTTAGAAAAGTCAAGGTACGCTGAGCAGTACTGGGCAGTATTGCTGAATTGTGAGTATTAGAGCTAGACCTTCAGTTCGGCCTTCAAGGCGAACCACCAGTTGGAGTATTACGACTGACTTGGAACAATGACTTGGAAGGGAGATGGGCACCACCAAGTCTGACAAAGTCTACTGAAAGGAACAGTTGGACAGACAAGAAATTAACAAGCTGGATCGGCCAAGGTCTGGATTAACAATAAACATGCTCCCCCACTGACTATTTGCTACTAAAACCAATTTCACTAATTCTACCAATTTGAGTTCTGCTATGACTTCATCCGCTTTAGAAAGGCACTTGTCAGCATCTGTCATGATAGACTGTGGCAAGTCGAGAAAAACTTCAACATGTAGAATGGTCTGAGGTAGGTCATCAAGATGCTACAGAATTCAAGCAGTGCCGTGCTCCTAAACAATCAAACAGGAAAGTTCTTCCTTGACAAGATGTTCTTCCCATCAAGAATGCTTGTGTCACCTGTGTTGTTCAGTCTCTTCCTGATCAAGACTGAGAAGGAAACCCTCCCTGACCACCATACATTCTTCTCTATTGGTGGTAGATGCTTGTGCAATGTTCACTTTGCAGACAAATTTAATCTTATGGCAGAAAGCAACACTGAACTTCAAGACCTCACCCAACAGACAGAGGCATATGAAATGAAGATCAGCAAGGACAAGATTAGTCATGGTCAACACCAACACTGGCAGCAAAGCAGAGATCTACATGACTGGACAACAGCTGGAAGATGTCAACAGCTTTTATCTGGAAGCCACCCTTTTTGAAGATGGTAGATGCACTGCAGAAATCTACATCAGGCTTGCAACGGCAACAGCAGCAATAGTCAAGCTGAACAGGATCTGGCAAGGTAACGCCATCATCCTCACTACCAAGCATAGGCTGATCAAGTCACCATCCTGCTCTACGGTTGCAAATGACACAAAGAAGATGATTAAGGCATTTGTGTCCAAAAAAACTGCTTTGAATTTGTACAGAGAATAGTCACCTCCTTGGTGGGCCTCCATAAACCACTTCTAGCAACAGTAAAGCAGTGCAAGCCTGCCTGGTTTAGCCATGTGACCCACCACAACACACTGCCAAAGACGATCCTTCAGGCTACTTTCCAGGGAGGATGACAAAGAGGTCAGAAAAGAATCTTCACATTCTCAACCTGCTAGCCACTGCCCAGCATAGGTCAGAGTGGAAACCCTATCAACTGCTGCATCCCTCTAATAACTCTGACGATCGTTAGGTCAGGGGACTGAACTGGACTGAAGCAAACTTGGTCAAAAAACTAGAAAAATAACCAATGGGAGAGCTCAAGTGACTGTATATACCTAGACACCATGGGGAAAAACATCCTGTGTTATATTCCTTCTGGCATTTCAAGATGTTAACACTGGTTTTGAAGAACAACATTCAGCATTCAGTGCCCCACATTTACAGTAAATAAATTAATATGTCATGGATCATTTTATGCTTTTAATCCTGTTATCGTACCGATGCATGTTAGTCCTTGTGTGTGTGTATATGTATGTATTTCTCACCTTCCCAATCCATCTCATGGTCAGTATAGTCTAGAAAGTCAGCTTCATCTGGTGTGTCCAGATCATCCACATTAATGTCCAGGTCATCAGGTGTGTCGAAAAGGTCATCTTCGCTTTGGTCCAGCGAGAGGCTGATACGAGGGGCTGAGAGTTTTTTCCTTTGAGAGACCACACCGCCCCCGTCCCCCTGCAGAGGCAGAGACGTGGGTGGGGCTAGAGGGGGTCAAAGGAGAAACAATAATTTTGTCAGGTGTCTTTATAGGATATAAGTAAGTAGGGGTATAACAATGCACTCTGCTTATGATTCAAATCACGATAATAAGTTCATGATTCAATTTTCTTACGATATTTTAAACAAAATTTGAATGAACAGAAATTATGAATGACATTCCTTTTTCATTTCTGAAGTGTAAACAATGCAAAACAATGCATTTGCTTGTATACGTTTTAAACAAAAAACTTCAGTCCCCTGCAGTTAAAGGACATTACTTGAAAGACCTTTAAAATTGTAAACAAAATAATTTATTGTAGCTTCACCATATATTAAATATCCCAGTAAAAACATCCCTTTTTTATTTCTGAAAAATAACAATTCAAATAATGTGTACTTGTACAAAATTTAACAAATTTGCATTTAATTTAAACAAATAGAATGTTCACTCTGCTGCAATTAAAATAAATTAGAAGGAAAAGCAAAAATTGTGACACTGAGTGACACTGTGGGGTTCTTTTCGTCGGACAGCAGAGATGAGATGAGGTGGCTGTTTTCAGAGGTTTCAGAAGTTTCACAATTTCCTCTGCATCACTAATGTCGGAGCCATCCAAAGTACTGATTTCACGGGCATTTCGCATATCTCTCTACTCACAAGGGCTGCTTGTTGTTCAAGATAGCAAGCTATACACTTCGGTGGACTAGGCGGCTAACGTTATGCGTCTCACCCAGAAAACGACTGACGTGGTTTACACCTAAGACTGCTTGGGCATCAAGATTTAAAGTGCTTTAAAGCGCTCGGGAAGATTTAAAGCATGCTCCCACTACGCAAAAAAAACACTTTATGTGTGGTGATAGCCCAGCATCTTTCACTGCTACCTCCACATTGCGTGCACTGCTCGTAGCAACAGTTGTGATTAGCTCGTTCAAGCACCCAATCTAAAACAGCTGATTTCAGCCCATAACACCTCGGCTATGTTTCGCCCAGTGTGCGTCTCGAAAACAGGGCAAGTTCGGAGTACGAAGCTCGCTATTTTTCTCTCTCTGGTGATCGCATGTACCATTATTGTGACTTAGCTTTGGGTAGCCCTTGAAAAACACCCTACTGTTGTTATTGCTAGAGCGACTGAAGTGCGGGACGTGACAGAATGCTGTACTTGGGCTCTAGCGTGTTAACTAAAAGCCAAAATCTATTATTATCGACTACAGAAAATAAAAAAACACCAAATGAGGCTAAAGGCTGTGACGTACGGGAGCATGGCATATGATGTGCTGGTGTGGGTAAAATCAAGTGCGCCCTCTGGTGTTAAAAAATGCGATTGCATTAGATGGCATAATAAATAGAACATACTTGTTATCGTCCATCTCCACGATGCACATGGTCACATTTTTGCATCGCGATGTATTGTGTCACGATGCATCATTACACCCCTATAAGTAAGTAATCACCTAATTTTTCAAATGTATCTGTAATATAATTATTAACGATTTTTAGTATTGCTTTGGTTTACAGTGAACATTTTTTACTTAATCCCATTACATGCTATTCCTCAACCTCATTTATTTAATTTTTTAACATTTGAAAATGACAGCTGCTCTTTACATTGAGTGAACTTGTTCATTTGTTTCATAAAGAGGCTTTAAGTTTCTATTGTAAAAATCTTACATGTCACATGACTAGAGTATGATAGATAAAAAAACAGCTTGAGCAGACTCACCTGGTCTGCCTTCCACCCCCTCTGAGCTCATCTTGTGTTCAGGTGGCTGCTCCATCCCCACATCACCAGGTGGGGGATCTGTAGGATTGTACACAACCACGTAGGTCATCTCTGAGCTGTTACTAGCAATTGTATTAGTAACCAAGTTTACAGATTATTTTGATGAATTGTCAAGCAATCAGTTTTTTTAAATATATAAACCATATTCCAGAATTCTTCCTAAATAAACATGACATGTTAGTTTGTGATGTTTCAGGCTAATTTTGTTAAATTAGTTCTTTTTTCCCTCCATATATGATATATGATCAGTGCTGTCTGTAGTATGTGTATTTATTAGGGGTGTAATGGTTCAAAAAAATGCATAATTTGATTCATTATTCATCTTTCGATACAGCAAAGAGTGCCTTGCGTTAATATAGTTGTATAGAAAAGTTTGAAAAGCAGCAAACAAATTCCATGTTTTAGTGATTTTCTAAAGGATAATAAGTTAACACATCCTTTACAGGGAAACTTAAACATGACATTTTTCTGAAAATTATAGTGCATCATTTTTTTGTGTGTTTAACATATTGGAAAAGATATATAAAAGGCGCCATCACTTTTGCAAAGGCTACATTTTATGTTTCATTTTTTTCCCAATATGTTTAATCAGTAATAAGTAAAAAAAATCAGTGATTGTGCATTCTCTGTAGAGGATGTGTTAACTTATTTTCATTTCACTTGGAAAATCAACAAAATGAAACGGTCTGATGAACAGTATTGGTGAGTCAACCTTTCAGTTTGTTTATGGAAATAATGGATGTTGCGTTCTCCAGGACAAAAAAAGAATAGGACCATCAAGACTGTTACCAGCATAAAGTTTAAAAGCTCTCATGGTATGGGACATATTAGTGGGTAACTTGTGATCTGATGGCACCATTTCTACTGAACATATTTTAAGCAGCGTATTCTGCCGTCTAGATGACACCTTTTTTAGGGACGTCCATGGTTATTTCAACATTACAGCAACAAGCCACATTCTGCATATTACAACAGCATGGCTGTGTATTTAAAGAGTGCGTGTGCTAGACTGACACTTCGGCCCACTCCCGCTCACACAGTTCCATCAAGGCGCACATATTTCACATAGTCTATTCATAAATACATTATTCTCTGCTGAAATAACACAGTAGTCATGGTCATTGGGCTTTCTGTGATGTAATTTCACCATACACTATTTATTCCCAGTAAACACAGCAAGAATTAAACCATAAAATGGTTATTTTTGGTATTTTGCTGGGCTTGGCAGCTGTACCTGTCAGACTGAAGGCCACCATCTCTGTAAGCTACAAGAATTTGCATGTTGTTCACACAATCAGTTGCTCCGCAAATCTTTATTACTTCATTCATTTTAATTGTTTTACTGTTATGATTTTACATTGTTTATACATACAGTGCTGTGAAAACGTATTTGCCCCTCACCTGATCTACTTTTGCTAATTTGTCACATTTAAATGTTTCAGATCATAACAGACACAACAAGAGTAAATACAAAATGCAGATTTTAAATGAGCACGTCATTTATTGAAAATAAAGACTTACTCAAAAACTGTATCACCCATGTGAAAAAGTAACTGCCCCCAAAATTGAATAACTGGCTGTGCCACCCTTGGCAGTAAGTGCGATACATCGATGTGGAGGAATTTTGGGCCTCTCCTCTTTGCAAAATTGATTTAATTCGGCTACACTGGAGAGTTTTCGAGCAAGAACTGCCTCTTTAAGGTTATGCCACAGCAACTCAATGGGATGCAAGTCGTGACTTTGACTCGGCCACTCCAAAACTTTAATTTTGTTTCTTTTGAGCAATTGAGAGGTGCTTTGAATCACTGTCCTGCTGCATAACCTAACTGTGCTTGAGCACAAACTTATGAACGGCCATTCTCCTTTAATATTTTCTGACAGATAGAAGAATTCATGGTTCCATCAATTATGACAAGTCGTCCAGGTCCTGCAGAAGCAAAGCAACCCAAGACCATCACACTACCACCACCATGTTTGACTGTTGGTATGATGTTCTTAGGTTGGAATGTGGTGTTACCTTTACACCAGATGTAACAGGACCTCTTCCAAAAAGTTTCACCTTTTACTTTTACACCTGTCTTTCTTACTGTGGAATCGTGTACGCTGAGCTTGAGTGCGGGAAGTGATTAAATGTTCGTCTGGGTTCTTTTGCAACCTCCTGGATGAGTTTTTGCTGCGCTCTTGGTGAAACTTTGGTAGGCCAGCTAGTGGGAAGGTTCACCACTGTTCTAATGTTTCTCTATTTGTGGATAATGGTTCTCACTGTGGTTTGCTGGTGATTTTGTTTCACATCTGAATTTGAATCTCTTTAGAACATGGCAACATGTGCTGCTTTTTGAGACCTTCTAGCCTGATTCACATTGCCAGACAGGTTCTATTTAAGTGATGTTTAGATTCAACTGGTCTGACAGTAGTCATGACTGGATGTGGCTAGTAAAATTAAACCCAATAGTCAATTGAACACTCCTCAACCACTGCTTTCTGTGGCATACTTCCTATGACGGAGGATCTCTTGACCTGCTGTATCAGGTTCTTTAAAGAACCTTTTTAAAATGGCAAATGTCATCAAGTTGTATAACATTTCTTGGTATAATATAGAGCAACTTTTGCAGGAGTGTGGTTAGGATCTGTATGGATGGCGTGCTTATTGTTCAGCTTAGGAGTGTCTGAGAGGAGAAGGGCTTATTTATAAGGTTAATGTTATGCATAGACAGTCACTGGACTATCACTCCTATCATCAATGTGCCATTAAATAAAACCAACAGCATTTCCAGCATTGCTTCACTCTTACTGCACAGGCAAGTTCTGAGTAAATCTCCACAACAGAACTGGGACATGGGCAAATAGAAAGCCTTCTGAAAACCAACTGCAGCATTCCAAATCTATTCCCCTATCTCTCTATCTCCCTATATGAATACAAAATATTTGCCAAATTTATATATTTTTTTTTTCAATATTTCATGAACCAAGAAGTGATAATGACAATAAATAATAAATAATACATACTAAACTGTAGTTATCTATTTACATGTAAATTGTATTCTATTACATTTTCATTTTTAGTTCTTTGGTATAAATTCTTGCTGATATACAACATTCTGTCATTTCAGAATCTTCTATGTCCCTGTTTATCATTCTGGACACATCTAAATTTTCTTAATTTTTTAATTACAGCTTCCTATTGCCAGAATTGATTCTTTTATTAATTATTTAAATGAATTATTTGACACTAGTGAAGCTGTACAGGACAAAAATATTAAAATCTTATTTTATACACTTGTCCGCAACCAAATTGGTTTTATGCAACATTTTTTTAACGGTAGTGTAGAACCACGACAACGCAAAGAACTGTGTGACTGCAATTCAGAAAATAGATCTTTTTAGCATGTCATTCTAATTATGCTATAACACATTGATATATTCGCAAGGCTATGATAGTTAGCTAATACATGCTGTATTTGATCAGTTATTCTTCTATTGTGTGCATGTATGTTTACCATGTATAATCTCTTTCACATATTAAACCAATAATCCTCTCGAGGACTACATTGTAGTTAAGGTATGTCGCTAGGCACATGGACATCACATTGTTTTTTGTGATATCACAAAAAACAGCACTTTTACATGTATCCAACTATTCAGCCTAGCAACACCCTAGCAACCACCTGGGATACCACATCAACCACCAATACTCTAGCAACTACTTGGAACACCATAGCAACCTCCTAGCAACCATATACCATATACCGATAGCAATCAAGTTTTGACCCGCATTAAAGGTGTGTGTGTGCGTGTTTGGGGAAAAGGTTGCTGTTTTTTTTTTGTTTTTTTTTTACCAGGCCAGCCTAATCCATTCATCCATACATCAGTCTATCCAGCACAGCAAGAGGAGTGAAAGAAAGGGAGAGGGGGGGGTTATGTCATCAGCTACTCATTCTCCTCCCTCTCCCCTCCTCCACCTCAGCGTTCACACACACATACACACTGCGTAACGTGCAGAAACGAAACCACAGACATGCACGAACACGCGCGCGTATGCAAAACACTGGAGCGGGACGCAAATTCAACCGGCCATAACTAGGTCAGCTGTGACTGCTGCTCGAAAATAACTCGCAAATAACATTCAGTAAGAGACTGAACAGCATGACTTAATTGCATAAGCTCAACAAACACACTCACACACACACAATAGAACGTGCACCATCAAGGATGCTGAAACAACCCTCCCCCCACACAAACACAGCACTGCTTCGCTGTAAACAGCCGCCACTCCCTCTCCTCCTGTTTCTCTCTCAGCTCCTGGAAAGAGGAAAACATACTGAACGCTACCTGTCTTTCTCTCAGCTCCCCCATAATACCTGTGCACACGCACAAAGCACTCACCACTGCTGATTCACGCTCCTCTTTCTGTCTCTTTTTTCTGTACCAGGCTTTAGATCATAGGTGCGTGTTAGTGTTCTGCGTTTGCCTCTGTGTCCGTGCGCAGCCACAGAGATGCTCAGCTCATCCACTGCCGACAGCCTCCACCATTTTGTGGTCATGTGACTCTCTCCAGCACCAAATAAGGGTTCAGACAGGCAGAGAATGAGCCTCAGCGTGGGGCTCCTGCAGAACAGAGCCTCATCGTGCAGCTTAGAGCAGCTGAGTGGGTCTGACAGCAGAATGAGCCTCAGCATGCAGCTCTACCAGAAGAAAGTCTCACCATGCAGCTAGAGGAAGCTGAGTTGGTCTGCCAGCACAGTGAGCCTCAGCATGCTGCCCAGCCAGAAAAGAGCCTCAGTGTGCAGCCAAAAAGAGCTGAGTGGGAATGACAGCAGAGGAAGCCTCAAAGTGCAGCTCCACCACCTAAACGTAGCTGAGTGGGTCTGGCCAAAGAGGTAAGCCCCAGCTTGCAGCTCCGCCAGAAGAGAGCCCCACTACACAGCTAAAGGAAACTGAGCAGGTCTGACAGCATAGTGACCGTCAGTGCGCAGCTCCACCAGAAGAGAACCTCAGTCACCATGCAACCAAAAGAAACT